GTGAAGGCGCTACTGTACCTTGCGGTTGGCGTAGGCCGAGGTGATGCCGAATTGGAAGAAGTAGCTGTAGTCTCAGAAGCCCCGGGCAATGGTAAGGATTTGCGAGCGGAAGCTGCCATGGACGGCGGTGGCATGTTCTTTGATTCTGGAAACGAAGGGCGAGCCATTGTCCCTGACCGGGGCGACATACCCAGTGGAGGATCAACAAGAGATGGCGACGCAGACAATGGTGGTGCTTTGAACGGAGGGAAAGAGATAGACGATCGTCTAGCAACGCCCGGGCTACTTTCATTTGCCAAAACGGCAGCACGGCCCAGAGGACTTGCTTTCACAACTTCTACAGGCTTCCGGGAAGAGGAACTTGGAGGGGATGGCGAGGCAGCTCCTGATTCGCGGGCGGCACGAAGAGCTGAAATTGGACTCGCACTGGTCGTAGGGCCGACGTGGTGGAACGTCGAAAGACTCCCATAAGCTCGACTTGGGTCAGGGTCTTCGACAGTTCGTTTCTCGACAGGAGCCGATCCGACCCCGGAATTGGCGGCCTTGAGGTTGGAATCCCTGCTAGGAAGTGAAGGGCGGAAGACTTCATCGTCGGCTCCCATGAATCGGGAACTCAAAAGAGCTTCCGAGTCGTCCACTCGAAACTCACAGCTTGTTCGATAGGTCACTTGGATGGAAAGGTATCCAACCGGCGACTCCGTGGTCCCAAAGGTGTACGTATCGACCACCCTATTAGGGCTGTCGAATAGCGGCGTAGTCAATCGATCCGGCTTGGAGTCATCCGGATTGGGCTTCCCAACCAAGATACGATACCTGATTTTAAGCGCCGGGTGCGTATGAAGCCTCCCGTTGCGCTTTGCGAGCTTCCATGCGGGTAACAACTTGGAGTAGGTGAATAACGTTCTGAACGTCACAATACTCTGCTTATATATTTTTGGCAGATTTGAGCCAAGATCTGCCGGTAGCGCCTTGTTAGGCGTATTCCCCAGTTCCACCCTCCATCGCTCTAGAATAACATCCTCGGACCTAGACGATAACGGCCCCTTGGCATGTGCTTCTGAAGACCTAGAAAGAGATTCCAGAACATCAAATCGTTTCCCTTGCTCATCCAAGGCAACGAGACTTTGGTTATTCGTCAGATCCTTTGTATCCAGATACGTCTCGATGATCAACGGTGGAGGCGATTGTTCGCTAACGTCGTTCGTTCGCCAAAATCGGAGCTCCTCTCGGAGGGCATCGATGTCTTCTAAATCGATGGCGAACTGGAAGATGGAGCAGATTAGTTAGCAGAGTACATGGATACTAGGTATAATTGATGGGAAGCAGAGGCTCAGCATGTTTGGGGACGTAGCATACCCATCGATTGACTTTGGGATTTAATTTCGGGGTATCTTCTGAGCGAGAGAAGTCGATCCGAGAGGCCAGTATTACTAGAGCAGCTTTTGTGTGGTAATTCTAGACGCAATATACAATTAACCAATGGGCCCTTTGTTACATAGATAAGGGGACTAGAAGCCGGGTTCAATCCATACCGATACGAGCTGATTGAGCTTCGTTATTGCTTCTTTCGCTGGGCGTGAACTGGACGTCTGTCCAGATGACCTAGCCTCCGCCTCTATTCCCAATCCCCGTGTAAGTTGTACCCTGGGGTCGAAAGCTGGAGAGTTCGGGCGGAGATCTTGATCTCTGCGGTCATCGGAGCGGTTTGCGCCCGGCCTGGATGCGGAGGGAGGCGCCGCAGGCGCCGGAGATCGGGGGTGTTGATGCATAATGTGAACTGCAGATAATTTAGGGAAATGGATATGAATCGTAACTGAGTCGTCCTCGAGTGGAGACAGCGTCCAGAACGACCGCTGCGTGTATGTCTGTAGATCAAGGAAACGGGGAGGTGACGGTCCCACTGCGGAAGGCCATGCTAACAAGCCCAACAGCCCGAGTTAAGGTCGACAAAGGGAGAAAGATGGAAGAAGGAGAGAAAGGCTGAGCGCTAAGTAACAGGCACTGATTGAGATAAAACGAGGGACGCCGATATCATCGTTTGCTGTGCTCAGGCAACAATAAGATGTTGGAGTATTTGGAGCATGCGGTCTAGACAACCTTGGGAGCTTCTCCGCACTGACGACTTTGGGCGGATCCAGGCGTCCGGGGGTGCACGGCGTTCTCACCGTAATGGGGAGAACCAAGGGGTTTTAGGAACGCATGGTTGAGTACTACAGATGAGGGAAGTAGGAGTGGATGGCCAAAGGGGAGGGGAGGAGGTTGTAGTAGGAGAGTAAGATCCACAGAGAAAGGACGATACGTAGGAAGTGGAAGAATGGAGAGGAAAAGGAAAAGAGAGAGAGAGACAGGGAGAGGGAAGAGAGAGAGACAGGCGTTATGGTAATGAAAGTCAGTCAGTTCAGTCAAGCGTACGGGCGCAGAAGGTCTGTGACGCACACCCGGTGACTCGGTGGTTTGAAAGGAAGCAGGTCAAGTGCGAGCGGTCAGTCAGTCAGGCTGACGGGTGCCACAGCAGGTTCCCCCAAATGAAATAACCCATGCGATCTGGGACAATACAATCAATGGCTACGAGAAGATCAGACTAATCAGTAAGGGAGGGAGGTCTTCCACTTGATCGAGGGAATGCTCTTGTGCTCTGTCTGTATTTTTGGGCGGACCAAGATTATGGTGCAGGAGGTTAGCAGTTGCAGCTGGAAAGATTAGAACGGGCGATTCGAAGGCGGTCAAGCCGCAAGCTGCGGCTGCAGTTCTGTATGAACCAGTATCAACCAGGTACGGCCCAGTCTAGTGTCTGCGTCACAGAACGGTATTGGCCGAGAGATAAGGAAAGGCTGATCAAGCGGTGATAGCATGAAGTCATAGCCTGATAGGCGTGGCTGGCTGCCAACTGGCACGGGGGCCTGCCAGGCAGTCCGTAATTACCCCGTTAGATGCGTGGTATCTTACCCGAATTCGAAAAGAAAAGGGGGGCTCTTGTCATCTGGAACGGTACTATTAAATTCAGACTATCCCTGAATGGGTTAGCCCTCCTAAAGTTACCGCTTGCGCCTGGGCGATCAATCAACTTGCATGATAATCCCTATCCATGACAACATTCCATGCTTTCTAACTTTAGCCATCTCAGTCTTTCCTGTGGTGCCCGCGAAACCTTCGACACAGCAATGTCGTGCTTTTGGCCCGCCGTCGTCGGTAGACAGCAATTCCTCTGAAGCCAAACAGACTTCAGAGCCAGCTCAACTGACAGTCAACTTGGGATGTCTGCGACGCAGACCGACGAAATGGGGGAGGATTGCAGAGCGCAGACAGCCTCCGAGCACCGAGAGCATGGACCACACACCCCCAACTGTCCTGGGACTGGCTGCCTCACCTGCAACGGCCTGCAGGTTAGGTGGAGAGCAGACGCCAGTTGCCCGGTCTACAAGGCACTGTACCTTAGTCTGTAGCTATACCTTTCAGCTCGAGCCAATGCAATCTAGTCTACTGTACAACACACTGCCGGCATGATGCACCGGAACTGCGAGGTTTGCAGCCTAGGCGGCTGGCTAAGACCCCTTCAAACAACCTAGACTCCTAACTCATCGCAGACCCCGAATCGGGGGAAAATGATAGGTGATGCATCATCCCCAGGAAAAGCGTGGGACTCTATCGGGGAAAATAAATAGTATGTTTAAATTTGGAAGTAAAGCAAGCAAGCAAGCCAATGGGAATCGGCTCTGGCGCATCTCTCAAAAGACTTGGATGTGGTTGTTTGGAGCCAGTTGGTGGTACAGCTGTATACGCTAACCTAGATTACAATAATAGGGCCTGGACACTTCATCTTTCGTACCTTTGTTTGGGCTGTTTCCTTTTGGTGGAATTGTAGCCTTGTGGCCGATTGTTGCCTACATGATGATAGATAGAATCTAGTAGTATGTGAAGACCCGTGATTGCTGAGATTACTACAGGCAGCCACAAGCATAGCTTACACACCGCCTTCAATCTCAAGGCACATCCAGCAGTAGCTTTCGTCATGCCTGAGGCATGAAGGTCTACTCTTAGATAGGGCTTGTTGAGATTCATTATCGTATCCTATTGAAATACTGCTAGAAATATTTATATGTTACCTGATAATAGGTTTCACAAATACTGAGTGCGTTATCAAATGTAGCTAATCTAGAACTACGGAACAGCTGTAAATATTCTAAATACGATGTAGAAGAAACATCATTGGTAAAAGAGACAGCGAAGCCAAAATATTTAGGAGTCCAGACCCACTGCTCATCGAGAAGTCAGCAAAGCCCTGAAAATTAGTAATTTCCAGTGATTTGAATACGCCTTCAAGCATTATCCATTAGAACATCCGCCCGGGGGCCCTGCAACAATGTGGAGACATTGACATTTCCAGCAAATGCCTACGCAAGATGTGAGTGACAACGAATGCTTGCTAGTAATTAAAGCAGAGCATGAAAACATGATGTATCCGATCATTTTGTGCATCCCTGTAAACTTATCTTGATAAGATGGATGGATATAGGGTCCACCTGACAGCAGGCACAGGGACAAGGAAGTAGGGTCATGTCAGGGTGTTCTTAGTCAGTTGGGATAGACAAAGCAATGGGTCGAGGGATAAAGGAGGATAGAAAGGGGTAATTTTAGCACAACCACTGACTGACATGGATGATGTGACAAAGAAGGATAGGACGGATGGCTATCAATGGTGCAAGGGTTTGAGTCTTGAGTAAAGACAACGAGGATGGCGACAGCATAGAATACATTTCGAGAGGTGTAATAATCATGGGCGCATGTACAACAAAAAGGAAGCAGGCAAGCGCCTAACCATACACGCCGAAGAGTAGCGAGTCCGATAAGACTGTGTGCAACAGCTTGATTGTATGTCCACCATCACAAATGATGGGCGATACTAGACAAGATTTTGAGATGGTGGTTGGTTGGTGTTGGCTGTAGAGGGAGGATATTGCCTCTTCAAAATGAGCAGAGCAGGGACAAAAAATTAAAAAGATCGCCCGATGCGAGGGTCGAACTCGCAGCCTTCGGATTACGATTAATCATAAAAGTCCGACGCTCTGACCAATTGAGCTAACCGGGCAACTTTTGATAACGTGACAGCCTATCTATCTGATTTGAATGCTTTGGAACGGTAGTGGGCTACGTTGGCCAATGTTCGACGGGTGGAGAAGTGTCCAGATCCACCTGTCAACCGCTTTTACATAGAAAGCGACAGAAGATGGCAAAAATATTATACAATTCGAGTTATCATGTTCTCCACCTTTTTCAATGGTAGCCCAACCGTGGCTGTTATCATAATGTCGGCAAAAATGGGAGACAACCATGGTCAAGGTGCGAAAAAGAAATCGCCCGATGCGAGGGTCGAACTCGCAGCCTTCGGATCACATGTGATCGTAAAAGTCCGACGCTCTGACCAATTGAGCTAACCGGGCAATTGTTGGCGGATCTTCAGATGATTTGATACCTAAACCAGGAGCCTAATCTAGGGCATAGCAATGGATAGATATGTAGCCAATTTTCTTATGCGATACGCCAGACTTATGGTATTGTGAGATCACCCCATCAGAGTAACTCTGTCGGGAAGGATGAGATTAAAGAAGAGTTACTAAATATGTAGTATGCCTATCAAGCTGCAGGCGATAGTCCTGGTGCTGTTGAGCATTAAGTGTAACCAACCGAACGACGGGGATCTACAACAGATATACTTATGGTAGTAGCACGGGGCTGTAGGGCATGAGATACACATGAATGTTGCAATGCTATTACCCCTGTTCAGTACCTGGATGTAATACCAATGATCTCACATACCAGTATCAATAGCAGAGATATTAAATCTTGTACCAGATGATGGTTACACATTTACCTCACGGCTATAGTACTTCTTAAAAAGTTCATTAATGAAATCCTCCTCGCCGTACCGTCGGGGAACATGGAGGGGAGCGCCGCTGCGATTGGCCACCGCCCGGAGAGTATTATCCACGGATCAGAAGGAAAGGCATAATCAGTCTGTGCTTCCCTGCGAACACCCTCCAGTCCATCTTACTTCCTGTCCGGCTAATGGCCTCCATCCCTCCTTGAACCCGGTCATCCGACTTGATTTCGCGGTCGCGTACCTTCCCTCCAGCTTACCCGACGCGCTGAGCCCTTCCCTCCCCCGCTGTTCACTAAGACTCCCGAGTCCAATATTCGTCCCCCGGTATAGCTACTTATCATCGCCACCGCATTTCCGCGTTCGATTGGCTTCAACTATTCTCATCGGCAAAGAGCCATCACCTACAGCGTCCCAAACTCCCATCTACGGCCCTGACATATTCCTCTCGAAAAACCTCCGATAAATTGCACCCCCGCGTTGACCATCGTCAACCCCTCCTTTTCTGTTCGGTCAGAATACTCTTGTCACCCACACTCTTGCTGGTGCGCCGCCGACCCTCCGCGGTTACAGCGACGCTCCGGTTCTGGGTTGATAAGAGTTTCTGACACACTACAACTTTGAGCACATGAGTAGCAAGCTCTGGGGTTTCTTCTTTTACGATGACGTTGAGAGCTTTCGGCGGTTCCTGGCAACGGCCACCTATACAACGGGTGGCAGCCAGCGGACGGGAACCGGAGGGGCTTCTCCCTTCAAGCCGGGAAGCCCCGGGTCCGTGATAGCCTCCTCGCCAGGTACGTCGACGAAGAGCAGGAAATTGACGGGAACCTCCCCAGGTACTCCCATACCGGATCGAGGTGGTAGCCTGCGCCCTGGCAAGACGCTATCTCGGGAGGAGCTGAATGCCCGAGATCATCATGGTCGAACCCTCCTTCATCATGTGGCGTCTTCGCCAAAAGATACTGCAATCGAATTTGCCATAGCCCTGCTCGAGATTCCCGCTCTTGATATCTATGCGCAAGACTGGGAAAGTGGTTGGACGGCTTTGCATCGAGCTCTATACGCAGGAAACGCAACGATCGCTCAGGCGTTGATGGCTCGAGATATGCGCGACGCTACAGATTTCAGCAAAGCAAGCAACCCCGGGCACCCAAGTGGAGGGTTGATCAGGATCAAGGACCGAGAGGGTTATAGTCCATTCGATGTGTATGGGGCGACGATTGCGACTCGCGATATCAAACGTATCAGCCCCCGGACGACAGCTCACGCCACTCTTCTTGCAGATATGGACAACAGCGATGCTGCTTCTGATGTGTCATCCCATGGAGAAGGCTTTGACGAGGATTCACGTAGTATGAGGATTATTGTGAAGTCCAGAACTAACTTGTCTGGTGACGAAGTGTTCACCTTTGGAAGTAACAAGAACTTGAACCTTGGAGTTGGAGATCAAGATGATCGTCAATATCCTGAAAGAATCACTCTCAAACGACCCGAGCACCTCCTACAACGCTTTTACCGTGAATTTCTGGAGCAACGGTCGAATGACGACACATTTGACCCCGATCAAGAACCCGGCTACTCAACGGACTTACCAGCATTGGTAAAGAATAAGCCCATAAAAATTCAGAACATTGTTATGTCGAAGCTTCACACAGCTATTCTCACTACTGACCCCGAGTCTAACCTCTTCCTCTGTGGTTTCGGGCCCGGCGGGCGCCTTGGTACAGGGGATGAGTCAACTCGATTTAGTTTTGTCTGCATAGACACGGGTGGACTCGCAAATAGGAGGGTGGTTTCTGTTGCCCTAGGCCAAGACCATACGCTAGCGATCACTGACCGCGGCGAAATTTTCAGCTGGGGCAGCAACAAGTTTGGCCAACTTGGCTACAGTCTCCCAAGGAGCAACAATCGGGACGACGTGCCTATACAGAATTCGCCTCGGCAAATTTTCAATCCCTTCAAGAAAGAGGTTATTCTTGGAGCAGCAGCATCGGCAATTCATTCGGTCGTCTTTAGCACTTCTGGTCTGTACACATTCGGTAAAAACGAAGGACAATTGGGGTTGGTGGACTCTGATGCTCGTTCACTCGAAATCCAAACGACGCCCCGACGGGTAGGAGCATCTCTTTTCAGCGCCCCAATACAAAGTGTATCTGCTATCGATCAGGCGACAGCACTTCTCCTCCAGAACCATGAAGTCTGGGTATTTTCGCAATACGGCTATTCGAAGCTCTTGTTTCCTTTGGATGTCAGTTCGAGGTTCATAAAGGATAGTTTTATGGCTACACGGTATGGTTCATCTGTCAATGAGATCGTTCAGGTCAAGTCGGGTGGAAATACCATCTGTGCGCTGTCCAGTTTTGGTGAAGTATATACAGTTCAGGTCAACAAGACAGAACATCCGCCAGTATCAACTTCAACGACCAACCCATCCAAAACCCGCAATTCTCTGTCCCAGCCGACTCGCGTTTGGTCCATTAAGAAAGCCCATATGGCCGCTGCAGATGTAGACGTGGGGCAGGATGGTTCGATCGTCATTTGTACCGTTTCCGGTTCGGCCTGGAGGAAGGAGAAGCGAGGGAAGACGAAGGATGGCGCATCGAAGGATTACAAGTTTGCTCGCGTACCCGGCTTATCTCGGGTTATTGGCGTATCCAGCAATGCCTTTGGGGCGTATGCAGCCGTGCAACGCGACTCAGAGGTCACGAAAGAGCAAATCAGCGTCGACCAATCTACCTTGTGGAAAGACCTCCTTCCTCTGTCTCCATTCAACTCGCTACAGGAAACCATAGACCCGCGGAGTCAGACTGATGAGAAGGATGTTCATACGGACATGGAGCCTGCCATGGCTATCAGAAGAGCCGTCATGTTGTCTTCAGAGATCGAACCATTGTTTCAAACCTCACAGTCCCGGGCACCAGCTGGGACTGTGTGGCTCAGAACGAGCCAATCTGACATACAAGTACCGGTGCATGAATTCATCCTAACAGGACGCAGCTTGGTGCTGCGAAAAGCATTCCAGGACTTCCGCGGTACGGACCACGCCTCTGTTCCTGACACTGTGACAATTCAGCGTGACGATCGGGGCCAGACGCACGTCATTATGCATGGCGTCGATGTACTCACTGTCCTAAACATTGCTTTCTTTGTATACACAGACAGCATCTTGGACGTCTGGCAGCAGGTGCGGTACTCGCCGGAGAGTGCCTCCAGATATCGCCAAGTCCGGAGCGAGGTGATGCGTATTGCTAGCCATCTGGGACTCTCGACCTTGGAGAGAGCTGCTAGGCTTATGATTGAGCCAACCAAATCTCTCAAAGTTGACATGGAGCGAGCTATCAGGGACCCGGCGTTCTTTGACAGTGCCGATGTGGTCATCGAGCTGAATGGGAGCGAAGTGAAGGCTCACAGCCAAGTCATCTGTCAGAGATGTCCCTTCTTCAATGCCCTCTTCTTTGGCCGCTCAGAGGGCATGTGGCTATTGTCACGTCGCGCAGACCCGGAACACATGGTTCACATTGACCTCAGGCACTTCGAGCCGAATGTGTTCAACTTTGTTCTTCGCTACATGTATGCCGACACCGAAGCTGAGCTCTTCGATGATGTCCGATCGAGGGATCTGGAAGATTTCATCGACTTGGTCCTCGATGTTGCATTCGTGGCCAATGAATTGATGATCGACAGATTGGCCCAGATATGTCAGAAGATGCTTGGGGTGTTTGGTAAGTTAATACTCTCTATCTCTTGATTCTTGTCGCTTATTTACGTACTCTAGTGAACACACGCAGTGTGTGCCATCTACTCAATGCCATTGCTCCGTGTTTTGTGACAGAATTCAAGGATGCTGCTTTGGAGTACATATGCTTGAATCTAGAGGACTTGCTGGCGAACAGGTAAGAGGACCCCCATTGCACAACAATGTTTGTGATTCTTACATCTTGTGCAGGCTACTGGAAGACCTCGACGACATATTACTCGGTGCTCTTGACACTGTCTGCCGCGACAACCAGATGGCTAGCTTCCCAGTTTCGCGGGGACGAAACACAGAAGAATACGTTCTCGAGAAATACCCCGAAGTAGTGTCTTTAATAGAGGAAGACAGGAAGCGGAGGATTGACTCCATGAGGATCAGGTCTCGCCTCAATCGCACCGACGCCTCCGAGGGCAAGCCACGTATGACGAGCAATGAAAAGGCAGCTGCCTCGCCATTACCGCAGAGAGTGAAGGCTACTCCAGCGAAGGATAGCTCGACTCCAGCTAGTAGCAGTCCATTGCTCAAATCGAGGCAGTCCGTGGGTGACTTGATGTTCCAGATGGATGATGAATATCTCCTGTCTCCTGGGGAATCCGGAAAAGGGAAGGGTGTCGTGCGGGAGGATAAATCACCCGCTGCAAACAAGTACAAACCGACTTTCGACTCGCCCGCTCTTGGGTCTAGCTTAGTCGACGGTGATTCGTTCGGGGGTCGAAGTTACCTGGATGATCAGATGGCCTCCTCGCGAGATCTTGCAGTTCCGGAGTCACCGAGCGAAACTCGCGCTGCCTCGCTTTACAAGAAGAGGAACGGGTCCCTGACCCCGCCAGATGCTCAACCTCCCTGGAGCTCCTCAGCTTTATCCTCGTCCAAGAAGAGTCTCAAAGATATCATGAGCGAAGCTTCGGAAAACCGGGTATCGAACCTTAGCTTGGGAATGGGGGCTCGCCGTGAGAACAACAATGCTACTTCCAAGCTATCCCAGAAGGAACGGAAGAAGATCCAGCAGCAGCAGATGCAAGACATGCTTGCTGCTCAACAAAAGGCGAAGGAAGGACCCCAGAACCCTTGGAAGCTTCCGAGCACGAGCAGTCCCGCCCCCGTCAACGAGCAGCAAGCAAGTCCGTCCGAAGGATCCGCCAGGTCTACTCCAAAGCCCTCGATGACTCTCCGTCAAACGGTTGCTGGCACCCCGCCACCTGGTACAAAACCAAAGACCACACCTATTCAAGGCCAAGGTCGCAGTACCCCCAACAAGGTCCAAACACCGTCTAAGCCTTCACTTCCAGTGCCATCAACCGCTGCACCATCTACTTCCAACCCCCCAGCAAATCCTCAACCCCCCATCCAATCCATCCGTCACATACCACGACCAGAACCCTACCAAACGAGCTTCCATACTCCATCAGCCAACTCACTTTCACTAGCCACCATCCTCATGCAACAACAAACCGAGAAAGAAGAACTGCACGAAGCCGCCACAGCGAAGCACAATCTCGAAGACATTCAACTGGAGCAACAATTCCAAGAATGGTGGGACAAAGAAAGCAGACGAGTTCAAGGACTCCCAGAGCCAGGCTCTGCCCCAGGCACTACTACCCAAGAAGCCCGAGACGGCCGAGGTAACCGTGGCCGCGGCAAAGGCCAGGGACACCAGCAGCGCAAGAGGCGCGGAAAAGGCGACGGCCCCAACGGTACCACTGACAGTTCCACTCCACAATCATCACAACCACTACCACCTTCACAACCTCCGCGGAAGGACCAGCGGCAGCAGCAGCAGCAGCAGCAGCAGAAGAAGACACCTACCGCTCCTCGGCGTGAACAACATCCACAACGGCCACAAGCTAATGGCAACCACCCAGACCCAACTAGTGGCAGCTCCCGTCGTGGCGGTAGAGGCGCTGCTCGCGGCCGAGGCAACCGAGAACGCGGGAAAGTTGCTTGAGCATACACACTCTCCTACTTGGAACATTCTACGACTCTATTTGCCATTTGAAGTAGGGATATGTTTGCATACCCCCTGCTAATATACTTTTATGTGGATCAATGATGTATTAGGGTTTTCTTATAGACAGGAAGAGCGATGAGAAGAACGAAAGAAAGAGATTTGACGAGCGGGATAGACTTGGACTTATTTTTTTTCTTATGATTTTGGGTAACTGTATGTATGTATGTGTGTATTGTATGGTTTATCTGAGAGACGAATAATGTTACTCTTACCTTTCTTTCCTTCCCATACTACTTGGGATTCAACTGGTTCATTTTCATTGTAATTCAGTTACTGTTTGATGTACGCAAACCATGTTTAATCTAGACAGGACTAAATCATACAACATAGCCTACGAAAAGCGCTAAAAGCACAGAAGGGAGTATTAACAGTGATACTAGAAAGCTGGTAGTCACTGAATTGATTACACTATTACGTAAAGAGTATCTATAATCGTAGCACACAAAATAGACAGAGAAGGAGGCTGAAAGGGTAGGGGTGTGAAGAAACAGCAGATAGAAAAATAAAGGCATAAGCAACAGCATAAAACATCCCAGGGTGATATCTCATCATGACGCCGTTTACGCAAAAGAAACAATTGACTCCCAAACGACCTTTAGCGCTACATCGAGTAGAACCGAACGCCATGGTTGCTAATTAAAAATAACCGGGAACATGAATAAATGACAGCGGTAAATAGTGAACAGAAGGTGGTAGAGGGGAGGTGTTGTACAATTAGCCGGCGGTGGCCACTTCGCGACTATCCCACATGCGACGGATCATCATCTCCGCTTCATTGGCACGAAGGGTGTCTTCGGTGATGTCCTCCGGGGCTGAACTGCCATGGACGGCTTCGTCAGATGTGGAGAGTATGCGATGGGACGGGTGTTGAGACTTGTGTCCCTGAGCCGCGTCAGATTCGTTCACAAGATCATCTGGATCTTGGAGATAGGCCTGGGAGACTGAGGTGTGCATGTCGTGATCCCTCTTGCCGATGAGCTGTCTGGGCTCTGGGCTAGCGCTATGGCGACCTGTGCCTTCTTGTAGGAGGGTCAGTGCTGGTGCTGACTTGATCGGCTTGCCAAGTGATGCGCGTTGTGTCACGCTGGAGCTGGCAGCACCACCTTTGAGATCAGTAAGGATCATGTTCAACCGGTTGAAGCTGTCACCCGTGGGAGACTGGAACCTTCGAACGACTGTGAGTTCCAACGCTGTCTTCTCGTACGCTTTGCGGATATGCTTGACTTCATTGTCGTGCACGGCCCCACCTGTGCGGGAAGGCCCGTTGACAAGGGCCCTGCCGGGTTCAAATGGGCCAGCGCTCGGCCGAGCGTGGGTCACAGCAATGAATGCGGGATCTATGGCTGATGGGGAGACCGTTGCAGTTACGCCATGACCGTCAGGCGGCGACGTGTTGAGTGCCGCCGTGCGTTGCAACCAAAGTTTTTGCTGCGTACGGGAATGCGGCTCGGCACCGAGAGGCCTTGAAGGTGGAGAGGCTCGTGGCTTTCTGGAGCTGGTACCGCGAGGGGATGGTGGTGTCTGTGGGTGATAATGTGGTAGAAAGGACGATGGAGTATTCGGGTCGGAGTCGGTACGAGAAAACGCATGTGGTCCAGTCTTGTTATTAATGATGAACTTCGACACGCCGCCTTCAATGGAAGACGAGGTCGCCTGGGCCTGAGTACCCGGAGTATGCGCCAATGTATTGTGGGACGAAGACAGGGGACGTCGTGCACCATCAGGCCCGGAGGCCAAGTTGGTCAGAGATGCATTGCGCGAGAGCGATTCCACGGCGGTCGGCTTCACCGTGGCGGAGATGGAAGACATGGCGGGCGGTGCTTTGGCGGAATGGGACGGGCTGAGCAGGCGAGCGGCAATATCGGGATGGTCGAGAGCGCGGCCCGCTTCTTCGTGTCTTTCCTCAGAATCAGAACGCTGTTGTGGAGTGTTATCGTCGTCGTCGTCTTGATCGTCGTCGTCGGATAGGTGGTCTTCGCCGAAACTCTTGCTGGTTGACTCTGGAAGACTGGTTGCTCGAGGGAATTGTGGGTAGGAGCGTTTGACGAAAGTAAGGGGGTCCACCAGCACGGCAGGATTCTCCACACTCTCCTTCGACTGTGCGACCGAGCTGCGCCGGGTACTTTCAGGTGACTGAGTGGTATCTTCCCAGTCAGCGTCGTCGTTGTCGGAATCTGCCAGCTCAAAGCCCACGGTCTTCTTCTTTCCGGAGCTCGAGTGAGGACGGTCGGTGACCAAAGCTTTCTTCCCCAAAACACCCGAAGTATTGCGTCGGAGAGCCGGGCTCGAGTAATTCTTTTTCATCGAACCGGTGCTGCGGTGTGGTTCGTCCAACACCCCATCCCAGCGGACGTGATGCCCCCGGGGGCTTGCAGCGGGTGTTGCGGGTGCGGACTTCTTGCGCTGATGCACGCGAGCGGGACCTTCCGTCGTCGTTGTAGTAGTACCGATCTGGTGGGAGGACTGGTGTCTTTGTAGCTTGTTCAGGTTCTTTCCGAAGGAAGGATTGCGGTGATGATTGCGATGACCACCGCCGACCAAATGGGGGCGATGAGGGCGATGAGGAAGCTTCTGAGGGTTCGAGGAGTGAGAGTGAGAGAGCTCGCCTTGGGAGATGGTGGTAGTTGAAGAGGAAGAGCGCGTGACGACCGCGTGAGAGGAAACAGCGCGGCGGCCCAGCCCCGGGCGCTTAACTGGGGAGGAAGTGTTGGAGGTCGGCATGGCGGGAATAAGAAATCACAGGCAAGGCGAGTAATACCAAAAAAGCAAGGGCGTCCCGATTGAGAGGGGAAAGGGCACACCGACGAGAGAGGAGAGATGGGGGGGTAATCAGCGCCGGATCGGGCGAGGAGCAGCACGTCGGAGGAATAGAGCGATCAAAGCGATTGGTAGGACTTTCTGCAGTATTAAAGGACCAGCCCAGGAAAGGCAGTTAAGTAAGTAACTTAGTCACTGGGTCTCACAACAGCAGGATCCAGAAAGAGAGCTGCAGATAATTAAGTAGGGAAAAGCAAAGAGCGATTGTCTTTCCAGCAGAGATGTGAAAATGCTGGGAAAGCGTGGGGGAAGAAGCAATTGGTGGCTGACGCGAGATGCGTTACACCAGTAAAAGTAAAAGTAACGTAGTAGTTCCGGGAACAAGGAAGCTGAAGAAAAGACGGAGATGTGGAGGGGAGGGAGTTTCGGGTAAAATCAGAAAGAGGGAGAGAAAGTAGTGTTAAGTTAGGGGAGATCGTGAGGGAGAAAGGAGAGAGAGAGAGAGAGAGAGAGAGAGAGAGATGTAGTGGATGTAGACTATGTATATAAAGTATGGATGGAAACGAGCAAAGGAAAAGACACACTGGGAAGTAAGTAGTAGTCTATGACATTGAGGAGTAGTGGCAGGAGACAATCAAAACTCCCCCCAGATCGAGGAGAAGGAAGAGGGAAAGATGATGGAAGATTGAGGATTGAAGATTGAAGATCGAAGATGGAATCCGGAATGGAAAACGAATGAATGACTGAATAATACTTACCTTTCCCCGTTCCCGTTTCCATACCGAGTCCAGACCGAGTATCCATTATTGCTGTATTTTTCCATTTTCCATTTGCCACTGAGACCGGCGATCGCCAGCAACTTAGTACTTCACGAGGCATTTCCCCATCCCCATCTAGCTCTTTTTGGGTTCTTATCTTCCTTCCATTGAATCTTCCGGATAATTCCCCCCTACACGATATACGTACTTTTGCCACCTCTACAACTAATTTTACACTAATGGTCTCCGAAGTAGCCTTCCATCCACAGGATTTGTGACATCTGTACATACAATTTCGTGGCTTGCAAACAACCAATGTTTTGGTATCACGGTGACAAAAGACTAGAGAGTATAAGCAACAAAAACAAGCATCGGAATGCGCCCCTCTCCCCCTCATTTCCACACCCCCCGCTGCATACCCCTTGCTTCTACAGCTCAATCAGACTTTCTTCGACCGGCGGCCGAGACGGCGTGGGCTGTTGATACGGTGCATGAGCCGGCGTTACACCCACGGGAGAGACATCCCCCACAGCCTGGCCAGGATGTACCGGCGCGCCTTGAGGGTATGCCGGGTAGGGGTTCCCCTGAGGAGGCTGCGGAGCATAAAATAATGCAGCAGACGGGTCCGTTGGCTGCCGCTGAAGCCCGTAACCTGAAGCCGGTCCTTGGTCGGCCGGGAGATCTGGGGCTGACGGTGCCGACGGTGCCGACGGTTGATACAGTGTCTCCCGCTGCATCACCGGTGAGCCCTGATAAGGCATGTCTGGCTCCATTGGTCGGGCATGCTGTGCCGGTTTGACATCGGGTTCCACGTGTGGTGGAGAGGTGTAGAACTGCGTCGCACCGGCCGGCCCCGCATAAGCCGAAGGGTTGCTGGGGTAAGCCATACTGGCGCTCGACGGTTGTGGAGAGGCAACAGCATGAGCACTGCCGTTCCAGGGTACGCTGGGTGAGATGGGCTGTGATGGATGCGCGTAGACACTAGGGCTCATGGTACCACTACGTGTACCAACTCTCTCATGCAGCTCCCTTTCGGGTTGAGGCTGCGGGTAAGGCGCTGCCGGAGCCTGGTGACTCTCGGCGATCGGATTTCCATAGTAGAAGCTTTCGGTTCCAGTCTTCCCATCAGGCGCCTGGGCGGGCATGGGCGGGTAGATGTTGGGGTATGGCGATCCGCCGGGGACCGGGCTGTACCCTAGAGAATGTTGTGCGTAAGCGCTGGATAGACGTTCCTCAAGCATGCGATCATAGTATCGGACCACCGTCGAGAGTTTGGCGTGTAGGTCAAGGAGAGTGTCTGTATCTCATATGTTAGCCATCAAGACTCTTTCACCCAGTATTGAATGAAAACCATGGTAATGGCTTACCATGTTTGCTCATGGTCTCCCCATAGCTCCGTGCCAATTTGGGGCGGAGCGCGCCAATACTTTCGTAGAGTTCCTGGATCTGAGGTTCGCGGAGTATGGTGCCCGGAGGCTGGTGTTGTAGTCGGTCGACCAGAGCGGCGAAAAGATGAATGTTCTCTACCTCGACTGGGCTGAGTTCGTAGGAGTTCTTTGGCAACGGGGTTGCACTTGGTGTCTGGCGAGACTGTGTGTCTGCAGACGATGTGTTCTTCAAAGCGGCCGCATGCTTCTGCTTGTGCTCCTCCATGTCACGCAGAGACGCTTCGATGGCAGCCTTCAGATCCGCATCCTCCTCTTCTATGGCAGGTTGAGCAGGTGCTCTGGGTGGCTGTTGGACCGTACTTTGTGGAACATAACCACTTGAGCCTTTGTTCTGCGCCTCCTCTAAACTCATCTGTAGCGCCCGGCGCAGATCATCATCGAACCCCCCTTCAGCTCTACCTCCACGAGGCTCCATCACACTGGATTTGGTTATAGAGTTGTTCTTGAATGATGCTCGGTCTGAAAGACCGCTGGGAGCAAGGGCTTTGGAAGTCAACTTGGCATAACAGCCGTCGTCCACTCGAACAGGCTGCAGGATTCCGAGATGAGGTAGGGGGAGGGTTTTGCTGGAGCATTGCGCATCGAAGACACTTCCGCAGTTGCGACAGTGGTGTTTGCGGTTCATGAAGCTGAAGGGAGTACGGCAGCGCATGCAGACATCGGAGTCGATCCACTCAGGAGGCTTGCGCAATTCGAATATTAGCATCCAGGAAGGGAAAGGTACTGCAGCAGAAGCAACTCACCGCACTGCTTTCCAACATGCTTCCGCTAATCTGGGTCTTGGGAGGGAATCGAAAGCCTTCGTCTTGCAGCCTCCGGTATGTTTCGCCGACGTAGCTCAGGTCCATACGGCCCTGGGCTGCCATCGCCCAGTCCTGAATCAATTCTAGCATCTTGGCCTTCACGTCGAAATTTAGCGGAGCACCCTCGGTCTTGAGAAGCGAAACAAGATTATCCATGAACTCGCGCGACGCAATTTCCGCCAAGAAGTGAGTACCGCCATTCTTCACGCATGTGTCTGTTAACTGCATGGTGAACCACCCGTCAGCATGGAATTATCGTTGCAACGAAGTCAGATAGCCAACCTTCAATGTCGCCAGCTGTATGTTTGGGTTTTTGTTTTCTAACCGGCGTTTCAAGCATCTCATAGCATCTTTGGGCTGGACACCCTTCGATCGGATAAGGTCGGAAATCTCTAAGTTGAGCGCAATGTCCTCTCTGCGCCAGTTGTTAGAAGTCAGTTGGTGGTTGACTGGATGGGGGCCGTTCACAGGCCGATCACCGTCGAAATAAGACATGGGAAGAGAAGGAGACATACAGGGAAGATGCGGTGGCCTTCTCCACCTGATCCTCGATCGGTGACGTTGAAGAGAACCACCCCGCCATGTTGACAGTGCGCAATGGATGATAATCTGACGATGGCGGAGCCCAGGATCGCTATGACGTTGGGTAGCAGCGACAAGGGGAAGGGAGGGGCTGCTGGGTACAGTCCTAGTCGGTAGAGTAGAGGGAGAGGTGAAACTAAAGAGATGACCAGAACACGACCCGGGTTGCTTCAGGAACAGACCAGAGTTGGAAAGTCAAGGGCGAAAGAAGGGGAGTCGACAGCAAGCTCCAGGCAGATCGAAGCGATAACAGTAACGAGCAATGATGGCGGGAGGTACCATCTTACCTAATGCAGTAGGCAACAATGTGGCCCCGCCATTGGTCGGGCATCATGAGTCAGCGGGCGGCCCCAGGCAGCCAGGGTCAAGCAGTGGCGTCATAGGCCGGGCGGTGAGTAACACCACCATGACGATACCGGCGCATTACATACCGACTTACCCCAGAAACATTCATCCCAATTCATCCAGTTCCATCCCGCAACGTTGGCTGCCTATTTGGCCTGGCAGTTGTCCGATTCTCTCCTCGTTGAGGTCCTGCGCTCTCTCTTTCTTGCATGTTTCATCCAACTCTCTCTGCTCGGGCCTGTCTGTCATTGCGGTCGCCATCGGTCTTTTCCTCTCCGACTTCCCCGTCATCCTTCTAGCCAGTCCCCTTCGATTTCCGAACCCGAGTTTAACCAGATTGCCCCTCGCCGCGTGTCCTACGAAGCCGTCCTCCAGGTCATGTGCTGGGATTCGGCTTTCCTCGCTGTGATATAATGTCCCCAGATGCAGCGGCCCTACCCTCTCCTCCAGACTTTGCACCGTGGGATAACGCTCCCCGCCGCCCTCAGTCCCTCGGTGGTATGCAGCCGGGCGGGAAGTCAATCGCCGATGGACTAGGATCGTATCAGGCCAACAACAGTTATGCGTCCCCCGCCGGGTCTCAACCAGCTCGATTCCCCAATATAAAGGATCTCCAAGATGAAGCAGCAGCACTTGATCTAAACGACAACACGTCGGTTGGTTCCCATTCCCTATGCGCTTAACGGGTGACGTTGCGGATGACTGACCCGCTTTCCGTACAGCTAAGCGTTCTGCTGGAGCGAGCGCAAGTGGCCATAGATCGAGCCCGTGAGCTTGCCGACACCGATCAACTGGATCGGGCTTATGTGCATTACCTGCGAGCGTCGGAGATCACCATAAATCTAATACCTAATCACCCTGACTACCGAGCCACTGCCAGCCAACGTCCAGGATGGTACAAACGATTCGGGGAGTTGATGATGGTATGCCGTGGCTTCCCAAAGCACATCCAGTGCTGTGACAAGTCGTGATGTCTAATATTCGTACAATGGTGGCTAATCTGATGGTGACAGGCTGTGCGGATGAAGCAAGGGACAATGGATGATATCAAACAACAAATACTGGAGAACAATTTGCTGAGCAACGTGCAGCCTGGTGGGGTGTCTCGGTCGAACCCTTCACGACCAAGATCACAAGTGGTGTCTCTTGGACTTGGGCAGAGTCCGGGCCCAAGAGGTCGCCCTATCGACGCTGGCAACAATTCTTTGCGGATGCCTAGCCCCACGCAATTCCAACGATCGCCCGAAGCAAATGTGAAGATGAATCGTTTTTCGAGTCCTGCTGGGGATGCACTTGCTGAGAGATTCGCAAAAC